ACACAAGGACCATTATGTCATAGTAACTTACTGTTGTCATACATACATCATCCATCTCATTACTTCACACAAGGACCATTATGTCATACTTACTTACACTTGTCATACATACGTCATCCATCTCATTTCTTCACACAAGAACCATTATATCATATTAACTTACTGTCATCGTACATACGTCATCCATCTCATTACTTCACACAAGGACCATTATGTCATAGTAACTTACTGTCGTCATACATACGTCATCCATCTCATTACTTCACACAAGGACCATTATGTCATACTTACTTACACTTGTCATACATGCGTCACCCATCTCATTACTTCACACAAGGACCATTATGTCATAGTAACTTACTGTCGTCATTCATGTCGGAATGATATGTTCAGCCCCTGTCAGATCTGAACTTGAACATACGAGGTCTGCGTCTGTGTCAGACTAAAGGCCTTTAAGATGTTTAGCAACACTGAGGCGTAATAGCCATAGATCTTCTCCAAACAAGGGAATATATATCTTGTGAGAATGACTTCTCCGACAGGGAAATTTACAGGAATGCGACATCACAATTACTTACGTGATATTTACTCGCAATCTGAGTTATGGATCGTCAATTTAAACAGGACATTATAGACGAATTTCACGAAAGGCATAGAGATCCAACATGCCTATGATATACTCAGAGAACGCACCTGCCTGTGCTATCCGGTCATAATCGCTACACAATAAAAACAATTTTTCATTTCATGTCTCACAGAATATATAATTTGATATGGCATTGTTTGTTATCGTATACTTTTGCGTTAGTGAAACAAATGTGGACAACTTTAAAGTTTATGTATGGCGTTATTACAGCAAAGGCTGAGCGAATGGAGAAATAACATTGTTCAGGCACTGTGAGACTATTAAGGAAGGTCTCATGCAGTGCAATAATATTCCAATTATGTACTGCCACAAAATATTTTACAGTAGTGATGCGCGAGCTGAACAGACTTAAGAAATTACGAGTTGATTCGTGTAGCATATTTGGCTGTGCTCCAAGCGAGACAAAGTGCTATTCTATTGGGACAGCTAGGGACACTTGTAAGGACAAAGGGGGAACGCATCGCCCTTTGTTCACCACTGAACCTTTTAATCCCTCGAATCATGCACCTTACAAGATTTGCCAACACCACAAACAAGGCGTAACTGATACTGGTAGCAAGAGCGAGTGCAGCTTGATAAGGCGTGTTAGCTTGCGTAATACTGCTTTCTTTGTCAGGCTCTTTTGGTGATAAGAATATTGAGGTCACGTGAACGTTGATTTCAAACGTATTAAAACGTGTGAAAATGAAATTACATGAACCAAATAATTCACATGATGGATATATATGATCATATTGCTTGAGTACAGGTAACATGAAGGTGTATGAACGTTAATATACATACCCCTGAAATCCGGTATGATACATAAATATCTAAGGGGTGGGTAAATATTTGTAAATCTGCAAATTTACATGTGTTTCCCCACCTAAGTAAATTCACATGTTTCCAACCCGAGTAAACTTAGAACGAAATCGGAAATTTCAGCACCCATTGAAATTCAAAGGAATGCATTGGAAATACTGTATGATCATGTATTTACCGGGATATCTGTTTTGCAATACATGTTTGGAAATTCCTGACAATCCGGTCATGGCATACATGAACGAGGTGCTTGTGCATACGAAAATGTACGATGAGCATATGTTTCAAAGGTATAGATTCATATGAAATATATGCCCGAAGTTAGGAAATATCTGAAAACATACGTAAATCCGGTCATGGCATGTATTTCCTACTGTATTTGCGATTATTTCAATCGTTTGCTATCCGGCTTTGGTCCTGTGACTGTTGTCATACATACGTCGCCCATCTCATTATTCCTCACAAGGACCATTATCTCATAGTAACCGACTGTTGTCATACATACGTCATCCACCTCATTACTTCACACAAGGACCATTATGTCATAGTAACTTACTGTCGTCATACATACGTCATCACCCTCATTACTTCACACAAGGACCATTATGTCATAGTAACTTACTGTCGTCATACATACTTCACCCATCTCATTACTGCATACAAGGACCATTATGTCATAGCAACTTCCTGTCATCATACATACGTCACCCATCTCATTACTTCACACAAGGACCATTATAACACAGTAACTTACTGTTGTCATATATACGTCACCCACCTCATTACTTCACACAAGGACTACAGTAACTTACTGTTGTCATAGTAACGTACTGTTGTCATATATACGTCACCCATCTCATTACTTCACACATGGACCATTATGACACAGTCACTTACTGTTGTCATATATACGTCACCCATCTCATTACTTCACTCAAGGACCATTATGTCATAGTAACTTACTGTCGTCATAAATACGTCATCCATATCATTACTTCACACAAGGACCATTATGCCATAGTAACTTACTCTTGTCATACATACGTCATCCACCTCATTACTTCACACAAGGACTATTATGTCTTAGTAATTTACTCTTGTCATACATACGTCATCCACCTCATTACTTAAAACAAGGACCATTATGTCATAGTAACTTACTCTTGTCAAACATACGTATTCCATCTCATTACTTCACACAAGGACCACTATGTCATAGTAACTTACTCTTGTCGTACAAACGTCATCCATCTCATTACTTCACACAAGGACCATTATGTCATAGTAACTTACTGTTGTCATACATACGTTATCCATCTCATTACTTCACACAAGGACCATTATGTCATACTTACTTACACTTGTCATACATACGTCACCCATCTCATTACTTAACACAAGGACCATTATGTCATAGTAACTTACTGTCGTCATACATACGTCACCCATCTCATTACTTCACACATGGACCATTATGTCATACTTACTTACACTTGTCATACATGCGTCATCCATCTCATTACTTCACACAAGAACCATTATATCATCGTAACTTACTGTCATCGTACAAACGTCACCCATCTCCTTACTTCACACAAGGACCATTATGTCATAGTAACTTACTGTCGTCATACATACGTCACCCATCTCATTACTAAATACAAGGACCATTGTGTCACAGAAACTTCCTGTCATCATACATTCGTCACCCATCTCTTTATCTCACACAAGGACCATTATGTCATAGTAACTTCCTGTCATCATACATTCGTCACCCTTCTCATTACTTCACACAAGGACCATTATGTCATAGTAACTTACTGTCGTCATGCATACGTCACCCATCTCATTACTTCATACAAGGACCATTATGTCATAGTAACTTCCTGTCATCATATATTCTTCACCCATGGGATTACTTCACACAAGGACCATTATGTCATAGTAACTTTCTGTCATCATACATACGTCACCCATCTCATTACTTCATACAAGGACCATTATGTCATAGTAACTTCCTGTCATCATATAGTCGTCACCCATCTCATTACTTCACACAAGGACCATTATGTCATAGTAACTTACTGTTGTCATACATACGTCATCCATCTCATTACTTCACAGAAGGACCATTATGTCATACTAACTTACTGTTGTCATACATACGTCATCCATCTCATTACTTTACACAAGGACCATTATGTCATACTTACTTACACTTTTCATACATGCGTCATCCATCTCATTTCTTCACACAAGAACCATTATATCAGAGTAACTTACTGTCATCGAACAAACGTCACCCATCTAATTACTTCACACTTAATCTTGTCATACATACGTCATCTATCTCATTACTTCACACAAAGACAATTATGTCATAGTAACTTACTCTTGTCATACATACGTCATCCATCTCATTACTTCACACATGGACCATTATGTCATACTTACTTACACTTGTCATACATACGTTATCAATCTCATTACTTCACACAAGAACCACTATATCATAGTAGCTTACTGTCATCGTACAAACGTCACCCATCTCATTACTTCACACAAGAACCATTATATCATAGTAACTTATTGTCATCGTATAAACGCCACCTGTCTCATTACTTCACACAAGGACTATTACGTCATAGTAACTTACTGTCATCATACATTCGTCACCCATCTCATTACTTCATACAAGGAGCATTATGTCATAGTAACTAACTGTCCTCATACATACGTCACCCATCTAATTACTTCATACAAGAACCATTATGGCATAATAACCGACTGTTGTCATACAAACGTCACCCATCTCATTACTTCACACAAGGACCATTATGACATAATAACCGACTGTTGTCATACAAACGTCACCCATCTCATTACTTCACACAAGGACCATTTTGTCATAGTAACTTCCTGTCATCATACATTCTGCACCCATCTCATTACTTCACACAAGGACCATTATGTCATTGTAACTTCCTGTCATCATACATTCGTCACCCATCTCATTACTTCACACAAGGACCATTTTGTCATAGTCACTTACTTTCGTCATACATACGTCACCCATCTCATCACTTCATACAAGGACCATTATGTCATAGTAACTTCCTTTCATCATACATTCGTCATCCATCTCATTACTTCACACAAGGACCATTATGTCATAGTAACTTATTGTCGTCATACATACGCCACCCATCTCATTACTTCATTCAAGGACCATCATGTCATTGTAACTTCCTGTCATCATACATTCGTCACCCATCTCATTACTTCACACAAGGACCATTATGTCATAGTAACTTCCTGTCATCATACATACGTCACCCATCTCATTACTTCACACAAGGACCATTATGACATAGTAACCGACTGTTGTCATACATACGTCACCAACCTCACATCGCCAAAATGTGATAATCAATATAACACGGTGACCTACTTTTGTTTGTCATGCATACCTTCAAACCTTAATACATCATGTTACTATTATCAGAACATGGGATGGTATTTTACTAATAAGATTTTAGACATTGTGTCTTACTATCGTCCTAGTTGTCTGCAGACCACTTTAGCTTCATCGGCACCAAAGCTGTCGTCACACACGGTGCCCCATATTCCGTTATAGTACACCTCAAGTCTCCCAACTCCGTTGTCCAGTGGGGACACCAGTCGGATTGTCTGGCTAAACACTGAAAATATAAAACGATTCGCCATTATGAAACAACATTGACAGAAACGCTTCTCTACATCCATAATGACAGAACAATATGTATAAATAAATTCTATCGAAGTACAAAAGATCAGAAACATTTGCCTGAAACCTACCACTGCAAGACACACTTGTAAGAAGAAGTATATAAGCTGCCGCCCACTTCGTCATGTTGAATGAAAGATGGCGTGTTTCTGGCTGCGGTCGACGGGTGAATATCCTATAGCATACACTCTGACATGAGAGATAGGCAAGCTACGTTATTATCGAGTGTTGATTTTGTGTGTGCATTTAGCCTTCCTGGTTGATAACATAACTGTGTCTGACATCAGAACAATCCAGGTGATTCTGACGTGAGAGATAGGCTAGCTACGTTATTATGTAGTGGTGTGTTTGTGTGTGCATGTAGTCCTTCCTGGTTGATAACATAACTGTGTCTAACATCAGAACAATCCATGTGATTAGGACATGCCGAGTACAGCCATGACTTGCAACTGTGTGAATTCATTGCAGTATTTACCTTGATAGAATGAGGGCAAGTGTGCATTGAGGTTGCAGCCTTTGGGTATCAATACATGGACAGGGTATATGACAAAATTCATAAAGTACGCGCGACTCAGTTGCCGAACAGCAGCACGGGAGGAAACAACAGTCTGTCAAATTTTGAACAAAACCATTGAACAATATCGTCATTAGGTGAAACGGGTTTCTTTCTTCTTGGTCACTATGACAGCGCTTCGTAATATATTTACATCCAGTGAAAGATGTCAAAATGGCCGATACGAAAACAACGGCACCGGAATTATATTGGAAGTTATTCGCGAAACTTCGTCGATAACAGCTATTTGCCATCATTGATGAATAGGCCAATCATTGAAACTTGATTAAATGACAGTCATGGATGAAGTATGTTGTATAATTAGCACTGGTATATAGTGTGCAATGAATGGCTAGTTATTAGCGTCAGTATCTATATTAGCTTAACATCAGCTATATTGACCCGTGGAGGTCCTGGTTAGAATATTGATCTTCAGTAACCCATGCTTGTCGTAAGAGGCGACTAAAGGGATCGGATGGTCAGGCTCGCTGACTTGGTTGACACATATCATCGGTTCCCATTGATGCTCATGTCGTTGATCACTGGATTGTCTGGTCCAGACTCAATTATTTACAGACCGCCTCCATATGGCTGGAATATTGCTGTGCGGTGTAAAACTAAACTAACTCACTCACTAACATCAGCTATTACTTTCAACGAGTTTTATAGTTTTCCGTTTTTTTTGCACTTAATGAAGATGTGCCATGTTCTCCATGTTTTGATTGGGTTTGTCTTTACCTGTCCCTTTGTTAACTCAGGCCCTAATGCTTTGAATGACCCTGTTGTTAGCTTTGTATGGTTGTCTCATGCAGCTCGGTCACCACTGTCGACAGCAAGTGAAGGGATACAGGGGACTTTTTACATTCATGGTACACATCTTTTCATAGTTAAGACTATGTAGATATACATTTTACATGTAAACTAAATGGGATGTTTTGCAAGAAATGTGGTCAATGTCTGGGTATCTAGGACTGGCAATTATTTCAATATCTTTTATGAAACAACTTTCATACATATGGTAAATGCATTTTGTGTGGACATTTATGATAAGTATGGAATATGCATGGCTGGTATTGCATTGTGTTTTATGGCTGGAATATGGTCGGGTGTGCAGATATGCATGTAGTGTGTCACCGATGTAGTGATATGGCCAACCAGTTTTACTTTGTACATTATCTGCGAGTATTACGAGTATTACGACATTTGTAGGCGTTACGATGATGCATTGATGTAGCGCAGGCTGTGCAGTTGTAGGCAACAAAGCCTACACCTCGGGTTCGTTTAACCATGCTCAAATAGAAACAGGTGGCATTATGTTACCAATTGGTTGGATATATATGCAGGTAATCCACAAACTCTGCATTCAGCATAATATTCTTACGACAATTAGAATTGTACATATGTATAGACCTAAGTAAATGTGTGATTTATGTGACATGCATATTTGGAATTGAATGACAGATGTATCATTTCTTTGCATATATCTTTCAGTGCAAGATAGCGTATTCTAATTTAGTCATATTATTTACCTCGGGGTGTAACTAACAAACAATGAGAACACCAGATGGGTAAATTCTTCAGAAATACATAATCCTGCCTCAGTTACAAAAAGCGTTAAAAATGTACCGAGGTAAATCAATCCAATGCTGGGGACTGCCAATGACACGAGTCGAGTCAAACGTTTGGATGAGAGCTTCTTTTTCAGTCACTTGAATGGGTTGTAGTGAGGATATTGTTGAACGGGAACTAAAACTCAACGACCGTTTCTTCATTGGCAATTTGCAATGTTCCTGATTTGATTCTCTGGATGTTTTGGTCCAGACAATAGTATTTACAGATGGTGCCGAGCCGACTGCGACTTTAAGCAAGGGGTGCAAGTTCAATAGACGTGACTGTAAGGCTTTCACAAAACAGAGGTGGGGTACTTTTATTATGCTCAGACTGAGGAAAATGTAGATTTCTAAATATCCAAAGAGATTCACTGTGGTTGTCTGACAATAACGAGAATGCGTCCGTTATCTTGTCTCCTTTTTTATCTAATTCATGCCACTGGTCATTACAGTATTGAGGCTATTCGTGTTAGAACTTCGAGACTTGTCTGTCTTGTTTCGGGCTTGTAAGTTGTAACGAACGATTAACTGCAAGGTAAACAAACCCACCATAGGAATGCCACAAAAAATATTATCCATAATCTAACTCATTCAAATATAGCTTTAATAACTCAATTTTACAGACATTATTACTGCGTACCGTTTTGTAGGCAGACATCCGACCCGTTGTCGACCTGCGTTTTTCTCGTGCAAACAAGAATAAATAGAGTTACTTAGCTTGGTTACTTGTCAAGTCGCACTTCGCGATCTACATTCACGGATCACAAATTTGCACTTTAATGACTTGCACATGAACTATTTCCAGCAGTGATTTTAGTGCATGCGTACAGTCAGCAGTCTATGTAACAAACAAATGTGTCATTCTCATAGGAAATGTCATCTGTTATCACCGTATGGTTAGACTGATCAAAGGGAATGTGGGATGCATCTTTGAGTAGTTTGAGTAGTTTCACAAGCACGGCCAAAGAGCAGAAACCATATCAACTTCATCCACGTATACATTTGATAAAGACATGGCATACCTGGCTATATCCTCAGGTCAGATTGATCTTATCGCCCTGATATCCTACCTCAATAAGCATGTGTAACCTACATAATGCATTTACATCCACGCCATATCCTTCAGCAAGAATTCTAATATATGTTGCATTTGTCATAAAAATAGTGTGAGGCTGCACTACCTTTCTGACTTGAAAGTGTTGGGTTGGGTTGTTGACCTTGTAGTTTCTAAGGTGAAGAAGTTAAACAGTCAGATGCAAAATCGCGATCACCATTCGCCTCATTATGCAAGAATGTGTCTCCATTGTCATTTTAACTCCTACTATTGCCATGTTGATATCTGGCAATGCTTCTGGTGGCAGCGATGATCGCCTAATGTTGGGTAAGATTGTGATGCCTGCTACATTACATCCACCGTGTATCTAGTCCTGTGTTTGTTAACATCACCACTTGTGCTGCATTAGTCTGCCATACAGACCCTGGAACAAATATATCCAAGAAAGCCAATGCAAGTCTGAATATGTGGTAAGTCTAGATTGACACAGTTTCAGGTTTGAAAATGAAGAAATCTCTAGGCTTTCAAATTTTATGATGACTGTTATATGAACAGTATTTTTCTGTAAAAAATGTTCATTTCAGAGACCAGATGTAAGTCTAGTGCTGAATGTGTCCTTAGATATGTTCGCTGAAGTATCATTCGGAGTGATGCTGTTAATCCATTTATCTCTCCGCACTACTATTGAGTCTCGCCTGGTAAGCCACCCATACGTTGTGATGTTATTGAACTTATGAGGCTATACTTTGACTCAGCAATGAAGCAATAAAACGTCGTGGAAAAAACGTTTGATTGTGTGTTGATGCAAGCAGTACGTGTTACCCCCACTGTGTTGCAGAACAAACATATGTCTGAAGTATTCCGTTTTAATTGTAAACGTGTCTGCAATAGTGCGCAGCGGTAGTAAATCAAAATTAATTCGTATTTTGGAAAATATATATCCCAAAAAACTAAAATCAATACATGTCGCTTTACTTTATCTGGTCACAATCACCTTAATGTCTGGTGTAGTTACGTGCCGCTGTCGCTTGGCTGCATACAGCTCTGCATGTGTCAACTAACTCACCCACTCATTCACTCACGAAAGTGAGTCCAACGTGTTCAGATTGATTAGCAACCTGCTGTCACGTTTGGTTGACAGACAGATTATTGGAACTGTCTCGTTCGTATATGAAGGATACATATATTAATGCCAATAATGGTTGCCACCCCCCTCCCCACCCCAACCCCACACACACACACCCCAAAAAAAATTGAAGGGGTTGACAACCATTATTGACATGAGTATATATACTACGATTTTCCTTTTAACTAAGGCATTTAGGTGAAGTTAATAGTTAAACGAATTTAATAGTTAAACGAAAATTTAAAAGTTAAACGAATTTAATAGTTGAAGGACTTCAGATTTGTATTCCTGTGACATCCAATTCTAACAGGGATCGCACACCACTTTGGACAAGTCAGTATCAGAACCTTGGAGTAACCTTTGGAGAAGTGAACTTACTGGTCGCCCTCAAAAAGCCTGTGTAACGTGTTAACCTGTGATTCAACTTTGTAATGGAAACACTTTGTACAACGTCATCCGGTACAAACGTTCACAGGACAAGATGCGATGTCTGCCTCAAGAAACTGTAAATTTTGACCAGCGACAGGAGAAACTTTGTAGAAATGTATCTTGATATGTTTAACATATATTAAAATAATTTCGTACTCTTGCTTATTGTTAAATGTGTACGTTTTTGCATCATCAGAAAAGTTTAGAATATTTTTAAAAGCGAAAGTGCCTTTAGCAATAATATCACTATCATTATCATTATATGGTTTTATTAATAAGCTGGTTGTGTTTTCTTTGTTCGTTTTTACTTCTATTATTTTTTATATATTTATTTTTTCATCGTGATACAAGTGAGCATGTCGTATTGCTATTTGTCGATATCTACGTCTGTCGCTAGGTTATCCTACACCCATCTAGACTGGCTGAACGTTAGGAATATAGGCATGGAGAAAGGTGAAACAAAGATACCCTCAGCAGTGGCCTACTTTCGGGCTCTCTCGGGTACTAATGTGTGCAAATGTGAAATATAGATAGTTAGGATGTATAACTCTAAACCAAATGAACATCGCCCAGACAGACCATAAAGTAAGCCACAATGGACATTCAAGGAGAGAACCCTCTTTTAACTCAGCAGCCCAGTGAGCCTTCCTCGGGAATACACAGAAGCCGTCAAAGAATATCATGAACGATCCACCGTAAGTCCACACTCCTTGAATGCCCGAAAGCTATAGGGTACAAAGCTACCACGCGTAAATGTCAGATTACTAAATCAGTTGTTGGACAATTGGGATAGAACCATGTCAATGCGCACATACCAAGAGTGCGGAATCTCTGTTAAGAGCTTTGGCGACAAAAATTGTGTATGTGCCGGGAAACAGAGGAGCTAACTGCCAGCTGGTTCAATGCAAGACTTTAGTAAAATTAGTAATCCCTCAGAAGTCATTATATTCCAGTGACTCAAAACCATTTTTGGGGTTCAGAATCATAAGCATACTTGATTACTTTCAATTTCTGTTTTCATTGTTACTGTTCCCCTTTCTGATTATTCTCTTATCATGACACATTGTGAATATTAGGCATTCCATAAATGTTAGACATCATTTCAGTGTCAACGGTGTTTGTTATGGCTTTTAATGGACAGTGAAATGAGGGTCAACCAAGCGAAGTGCCATATCAAATTGACACAGGCTCAGTTTTTCAAGAGAGGATTCTCTGAACAACAGGAGCATCGCGTGTATGTACAGTGGGTTCAAAAGACAACATCTACGCCCTTCGGTAGAATGAAGACTGAAGCCGAAGACTCTTCGTTTGTTGTTTGTGTACAGAATCTTTCAGTGTTGTCACAACCCCCAGTGTAAAGTACACAACTCTGTGCACTTAACACACGAATCCCTTGGTAAATGACCAGATGGTGGTCACATGAATACGTGCAAATAACTGGTTGCGGGTACAGCAACATGCAGTAAACTTGGACAAAGTACTGTGACTTTGTGTTCCAGTCCACCCAGCAAGGAATGGGTCTCTCGTAAGGATGAGAAAGCCACATTAACACGGTGCGCCTAGTGCCTGCAAGAGTTGTATGGTCCCCAGGGAGTTGATAATTGATAATACGAAGCGCGGTTGAAATTGACATCCTATCATTGAGGGAAAAACAAAGCGCCTGAGAGCGGCCGAGCTGAAAAACGCCGCTATGTAAATAGATTATAATATAATATATAGTATATAACCTTCGAAATACGAAATGTAGAATATATGCAATGAACTGGCGCTTTTTATCATGGTCCAAACTTGACAGCATGTGCAGATGGTATGGTATGGTGTAGGAGAAAATGTTTACAATTCATTGAAACATGAAACCTGTCTGTTATCCAAAATTTCCAGGTATTTCAATATTTTCTTCTGTCAATGCTATTGGCAAACAAGGCGTCCATGAGCATCGCGTATCACAGCGCCTTTTCATGAAGCAATGAAGTGGTAAACATGCAAATATATTTGCAATTCTTTATTCAAAATGTGTGACGCATGGTACAAAACAGTAACTCACTGTCCAAAGTAACTCACTGTCCAGTTAACATGGCTGCCAGATAGATAATCGCTAACAATTATGAATATTTGGATGTACATAATAATTTCATCTTCTTTTCTTTTGTTTTAAATATGCTCTTCTCAAGTCATTACATTTTCATCATTGTGTTCATAGTCTACGTTGACTTTTCTCCGTTCAATCAATAATGTATGTGAAACTACAGTTAAATTATTATATAATTATTACTATAGGATATTTATATAGCGCACATATCCACGCAACTAGTGCATGCTCAATGCCCTGGAAATTGTCCCAGAGCAACTATATATGTTCAAAGTTTAACATAAAAGGCATGATTCTGCATATAAACGAAGGACTGTAAGGTGGGTATTAATGACTTTTACCAGTATAGTCTAGGATAGAAAGCCCTTTTGTAAATACATCTCTTCTAGAGTTTGTCAAATGACAAGAAATAATATAATTGGATTACCAGCTCCACATTGTATACATCCATATTTATGTGTAGACATTCGCCATCGCAAACCCATGTTTTCCCCATGACTTTCACATAACATGATATTGTCACATTTTCCAGGCAAACTATTGCATGGCATTGTTAATATTTCATTCAATGTTCGATAACTCTCATATACTGAAAACCATATATAGATACTGTTCCCACATTCTCCATAACCCAACACTCAGTAACACAATAAACTGCAGCTGCGATATTCTGGTATTCTGGGTTTTTTTCTGGTATTTGTTAAGTAAGTATGAAGTTTATAGTCGTGATATGGCTGAAATACTGCTGATGTGACTGCCGATTTTTACTCACTCACTCTGTAACACAAACCTGTTATCAATAATCGAGTACCCTATTCTAGGGCCCGCTTCTTCCTACCCGAAATTGTAATGCCTCTGTAATTACTTATATTTGTAGAACCCCTTTTATAATGTGGAACATTCACTCCAAGCCCCAAGTCTGTGGAAACGAAGCAGAATTTTAAATCTTAAACAAATAATCATTCCAATTTGGTAAAACTATTTCCTGGGAATGTTTTTAAAATTCTGGTAATATCCCACCACTAAATATAAAGTCCCAAGAGGTATTCTTTTTCATCCATTTTTCTTTTTATTACAGACAAAACTTTGTCTCGGGTTACTGGAGTTTCTAATATATGAGGGGCTTAATCATCATCACTATCAAACTGCCTTCTCCACTGTGTGTCAACACGGATTTCGAACCACTCACAAAATCATTGACATATTCAAACCATTCTTGTATTTCTATATTCTTACATCTTACATCTACACAATTAAGTTTCAAAGGGCATTATTTGACGAAGATATGTTTTGTTTCAGCGTCTCTCTATACCCAAATCGTTTTCTTTCTCTTGAAGTAAAATAGTTTTGTACGCCGTTCTTGCTTTAGTTTACGAATGTAGCGAACCCTGGTGCTTGTTTTTACGAACATTATTTAAACAATTTCCGTTCCTTTTTGAAGTAATTCACATTCACAAACCATTTGTATTGCTTCATCTAGTGACATCATATTTCAGAACGATAAAGTATAAAATACGAACTCCTAAACTGAAGATATCCCAGCTTTACCAGAAACAAGGGTGTGATACATATCATTACAAATACACCAAACAACAAATGGTAAAACGATACATACTGCTTTTCAGAAGGTTTCCAGTGTAACATTAGGGATTGCACTTTCTCAGTAAAGAACAGAGATTACAGATGGCAATCTGACAACTGATCACTGAAGCCGTATCAATTTACACTTGTCACAATGTAAACAAAGTACCAGTTGCCAAGGATACGGTATACATCATAAAAAATATAACATCTCAAACTATAAAAGGGGCCGGAACCATTACTAACCGATGGAAAACAATACTGGGTATACAACAATACTGGGTATGCAACAGTACAGGGTATACAACAATACTGGGTATACAACAATACTGGGTATACAACAATACTGGGTATACAACAATACTGGGTATTCAACAATACTGGGTATACAACAATCCAGGGTATACAACAATACTGGGTATTCAACAATACTGGGTATACAACAATACCGGGTATACAACAATCCAGGGTATACAACAATACTGGGTATTCAACAATCCAGGGTATACAACAATATTGGGTATACAACAATCCAGGGTATACAACAATACTGGGTATTCAACAATACTGGGTATACAACAATCCAGGGTATACAACAATACTGGGTATTCAACAATACTGGGTATTCAACAATACTGGGTATACAACAATCCAGGGTATACAACAATACTGGGTATTCAACAATCCAGGGTATACAACAATACTGGGTATACAACAATCCAGGGTATACAACAATACTGGGTATTCAACAATACTGGATATACAACAATACAGGGTATACAACAACACAGGGCATACAACAATACAGGGTATACAACAATACAGGGTATACAACAATCCAGGGTATACAACAATACTGGGTATACAACAATACCGGGTATACAACAATAATGGGTATACAACAACACAGGGCATACAACAATACAGGGTATATAACAATACAGGGTATACAACAACATTGGGCATACAACAATACAGGGTATACAACAATACATGGTATACAACAATACAAGTTGAAACATTGAAATATGATGTTAATGGTGTATAGCAATGATAAAACCAATCAGGAATTGCTGCAGATCGAAGTCATCGATATCTATGGACATTTAGTTGAAACAACAGGCATTTCTTTGGGGAAAACAACCTATTCTTATCTTTGTACGGCTACGTCTTGTCCCATTGTCAGGTATCTAATGAATAAGCCTGTGGTGTTTGTACAATATATCAATGTAATGTCGGATTATTGGTCACAAATTACAATGTGACGACAAAGCATGTGAGAATAACGGACAGAATCCACTTCTGTACAACCATGGTGCAGTGACAGGGCTGGGTGTATTAACAAGCGACTGATAATAATAACAATAACACACTTTATTATTATTATACATAGAATGTAAATAGTAATAGCTGATGCCGATATGTGCCCAGGTCACGTGATGATATGGGTTTCCATGGTTACGAGAATAATTCTTTCCTGGCGATGGCGTTTTGGTAGACGGGCTCTGCGAGGGAATACAAATCGTAACGATAGTGAATTTTCCTATTATCAGAAGTAATCTATCAATCTGAAAATCTGAAATAGATTTGTCTGCCATTGGGTTCACAACTTAAGCCCCTGTCTTAAATTTCGACCTCATAATTATATGCAATATTTACAGATCAATTTTAAGGCTTTATTTTACTTAATAATGTTTTGTGCAAGATCTTTGTGGATCTAAATTAACTACAAAGCATGACAGATGGATATATTATAACTGCATATTTCAGTAATGTACCAAGGGCTACTGGTACACACAGTAGTGGGTACTCAAATGGGTATTCCTGGAGTCCAAAACGTCAAAACTTTTATAACTGTAATCAGGGAAAGAAACCTTTCAAAATGCCACCATTTTAAATGGCCACCAGGACCACTGCAAACATATCATTTACTGGTCCTGATGACATTTTACTAGCCATGGACCACAGGACCAGCGTAAAGTTCGTACACTGCTGTAATGTGTCGCAGTAGAAGTAATCAAACTGAAACACGTCATTTCTGAGGGCCTACCATCGTCCGGATTGGTGGGCGTGGTTCCGTCCCTCCTTGGCGATACATGTGGGATTATGGAGAATGGACCATTGATAAACAGAAGCATGCAGACCAGATGATAATAATTGATAATGTGGCTGATGGTACAGTTTAAATAACACGCTGAAATATTGTTCTACGTTTTACTTTGAGTGAGTGAGTTAAAATTTAACGTCACCTCGGCAATATTTCAGCCATATAGGGACGAGAAATGTTGTACATACACAATAAATACAAGAAATTAAATAACCAGTCATCGACGGACTGTAAAATAACTAGATTATCACAAAAAGAGTTAAAACTAGCTAGTATTATTTTTAAAAGGAGAAAACTACGTTAGACAATACAATGTAAAAATGGGCCGTTTAACTTTGATGCTATTAAAAGAAGGTACAGATGATTCAAAGTACTAACAGCAGGTATAATCGTCAACGTACCGTCATTGCGCTTTCGTCTTTTTGGTGATTTTACTTTGCTTTGTTTCTTTTCTGTATAAATGAAGACAAAAGATGACGTGTCAAAGATGATGCTACCCCGATAATTAAGGGGCCTATGACTACTGATGAAAAACACCACTGATTTTGATTTACTTAAAAATAAATATGAACGTTCAACGTTATTATGTGAAACTTCGATGATCTTTGTTTCTTTTACTTCTGTATAAAAGAACAACACATTGTAATTGATACAATGGATAAACAGGACTATATATGTAACAGTGATGCTCATAACTGATAAAACATTACTATTGGGCGTGGTAGGCGAACTGTCTACGGCGCCAGGATAATGCAATGGATAAACAGGACTATACATGTAACAGTGATGCTCATGACTGATAAAACATTACTATGGGGCGTGGTAGGCGAACTGTCTACGGCGCCAGGATAATACAATTTATAAACAGGATTATATATGTAACAGTAATGCTCATGCCTGTATACCAGTGATAGAACAGTACTCTCGGGCTTGGTGGGCGAACTGTCTACGGCGCCAGGATAATACAATGGATAAACAGGACTATATATGTAACAGTGATACTCATAACTGATAAAACATTACTACGGGGCGTGGTAGGCGAACTGTCTACGGCGCCAGGATAATACAATTGATAAACAGGACTATATATGTAACAGTGATGCTCATGACTGTATACCAGTGATAGAACAGTACTCTGGGGCTTGGTGGGCGAGCTGGCTAAGGTGCCAGGCCAGTGATCCAGCGAGCTTGAGGTGTCGGGATCGATCCCACCCGTGGCCGGGTGTAAAGGCCTTGGAATTTACTTTGTGTGCAGAATCTTTCAGTGTTGTCACAAGCCCTAATGTACAGTACACAACCCTGTGCGCTTAACCCACGAATCCCTTGGTAAATAACCAGATGGTGGTCACATGAATACGTGCAAATAACTAATTGCGGGCACAGCAACGTGCAGGAAACTTGTGCAAAGTTGTGTGACTATGTGTTCCAGTCCACCCAGCAGGGAATGGGTGCCTCGTAAGGATGGGAAAGCCACATTTACTCAGTGCGCCTAGTGCCTGCAAGAGTTGTATACTCCCCAGTGAGTTGAGAATTGATAATACAATGTGCCGTTTGAAATTGACATCCAACAATCGAGGGAAAAACAACTTGTGAAGCGCCTTAGAATGATATAGTGGTAGTACAAATAGGGCGCTATATAAATGCTGCATTTAAAAAAATGACAATAAAAATTATGGGTCACTGATAAAGATCACTTTGCGCCACTAATATATAGGACGATGTACCACTGTCGCACAGGAATATGTAACATTAACAAAAAGGACTATGTGCCACTGACAGTGAGTGAGTTAAGATATAAGTCACATCGGCAATATTTCAGCCATATCATGACTAAAACTAGTTCTAAATTTATTAAATATACATAATAAATAAATCCCTCTCAACGAAGGGATTTCTCGTCACTATATGGCTGAAATATTGCCGATGTGAGGTTAAATATTAACTCACTCACTCACTCAACGAAGGACAGTAAAAGTACTGGATTACCACATATTTGTTAAAACTAGATCAAGGAAAATTAAAATATTGTACTTTCCATTAACGATACGAGATCATAATAAATGGCAAGAGATCGCTAGCAACGGAAGTTAGGCCACCATACCAGGGGCCGTGGGGACTTATAACACTTTTGCTTTCTTCGCGGTTCCCAAGCTGCTTTAATACCATCCCGTCAGCTCTTAGAGATTGTAGGTAATCGACATTTATCAATCAAATGAATTTCTTTTAAAAAACAATAACTAAATGAGTACTGACATCAAAAAGTTCCTTTAAGGCTGAAACTTTAAAATATTTATCCCTTGTGATGAAAAAAATCAACACAGTCTCGTAGGATACGTTGTTTTCAGGGCTTAGGTTAGGGTTAGGGTCGGGGTCGGGTTAGGGATACGAAACGGATGATCCTCACCTTTTAATAGGTATTCGTGAGTATATATTGTATGGCCAAGCCCAAGTAGGTGTAACCGATAGTGGACTGTATTTGATGTAAGTAATTGATACGAACTCGGGTGTCCCACTTCTTCTGCGTCATATCACGGATGTAAGATGTAATGACGTAGACATGCTTCATTGCTCAAGCGTGGCATATTGTTTTCTGAACCATTCAGTAAAACAATACAACAGAAACTGCCGTCCCATCTTTTAACGGGTTCTTTCTCTCGTTTTTTCTTGAAGAAAGTGTCGCATCATTAAGTTCACGTGCACAACACGTCAGAGCATGCGTTAGGGTAATGCGTTTCTGTTGTTTTTCCCCATAAAAATGTTCAATAATTAGATTCAATTGTTACGGCTAATCTGACGTTAAAAGTCTTGTTTCAGAAGTTTAATTTCGAAAATTTGTTTCAAAGAACATTTAACATGCACATTCGTTATGATTGTAAAGTAGATAAGACAATTCTGAAAATTTCAAAAACAAATATGAATGTCGCGTTTCTTTGGAACTAAGTATTATTTAATCATTTCGATTGAAAGTGGATGTTTACAAGATAAATTCTTAATAGCCTGAAGGCAGGAAAGGGAGTCTGAAAAGATCATATATGGTGCATAATTAGGGTGTTTATTAATATATTGTAAGGCTGTTAATGTGGGTTTGCTTCGGCTGTGAAAACTGAGCTGTCTTCTGGTAATGTAGAAGTGTCACTGATAGATAGGACTATGTGAACAATGGAGCAAGGTTTTTCAGCAAAAAACGAATTTTGTCAAGAAAGTCTCACATTAACATGACTGTGGTCACTTCTGTAAATCACGTGGGTGAGGTGAAATGGAATTTAACGTCGCACTTAAGAATATTTCGCTCATATGACGACGTGCATGCGTGTGTATGTGTGGCTGCTTGTACTAGCCCAGACTTACTGAGATACCATGCCGCAGTTCAGCACGAATACCACGGTACCATACAACATTTCAACGGATAATTGGGATCATATTCAAAGGTTTGGACAACAGATCTAACGTTTCGAGTAGCCCCTCGATACACTATGACCCCGAAAGCCTCATGGAACTTTTGGTATATGTGACTGTGCCTCAAAGTGGCGAGAAATTACCTGTTGCTTGCCGTATGCGTTCTTCAGGGTCATATCCATGGTTGTCAAAGGCACGAGCAGGATCGGCATCTGGAAGATTGTGTTAATTCAGAATTTCTTATACGATATGTCTTGTATTTTGATTTGGCGTAAAAGGCCATGCGTACTTTGTGAGACCCACAAGGACAGGTATGAGCCTCACAAAGTCAGAACTACAGGGAACCTCTGATTTGCACTTTGAATCCAGATCCTGTCACACATAAGGGACACACCAGTGGACGGAAGTGCATCACCTTATACGTCTGGGCATTCAGTAATCATTTGTAACCAAATAGAGAAGTCATTCCTATTTCTTACCAATCTGCAAATATACATCGACGACTTGAAAGAATGGGTAAATAAAAATCTGCGTGCATAATATTAATAAGACCTATTGTTACAAGAAACAGATCGTGTTTTATATACAATGTCTCGTTAGCTATACCAGGAGCCTGTAAGAAAAATACAATGACTTCACAAAATCTTTATATTTGGTATAGTTTGATGATTATTGATGACAATGTACTCTTTCATTTCTGTACTGAAGAACGTGTGTGTGGTCTATGAATGCACGCACTGATCAATGTCCTCTTACGTTTGAACAGAAGATGTCGAAATGCTTAACCGTGTATTTCAATCGTACACACGTTTATCTTTCATAAGACGTTGTTATAAAGCGTTTAATACTTCAAATCAGTTTTTACTTCGTGTATTATGTCCACAGGGATTGATTGTGTCTCTGCCAAGGAGGTGGAAGGTGGTATGATACGTATCTGTATTTTATAGGCTCGGATATAGGCTCGTGTTATCACATGCACTGCAAGTTCCAAGACAGGTTGGTGCAGCTTCAGCTGTTCGGGGTCTGCATCCCTTGTTTAACATACTCAGTGATGTTAAGTATTATTTTGATGTACTGTTTTCATGTATTGTAATTACTATGGCTTTATGGCTGTATGATTCCAGACAGGACGTAAAATAGCTGCATATTTACAAAGCTATGTTAATTACCTCTCCTTGGGGTCATTGGAATTTCGCAGTACGTATTTTCAGCACCTGGAACATAATACATACTCATTTGCCAAAGGCAAAATACAATACAAGACGCAGTCATTCTCAACCATCTGAATTTTTCATGATCAGGTCTCATGTATAGGCGGATCCAGGGTGGGGGTGGGGTGGGGTGGGGCATGGGGTGGGGGTGTGTAATACTAATGTCCTTTAAGTTTATTAAATGACCATTAAAACTCTCGGGAAAATGAAGTGTGCACCCCTCCTTTCTCAATAGTTTGCACATCCCCCCTTTCTCAAAAAGCTGTATCCGCCCCTGGCATGTATTGCTCTATCTGTAAACTCTGGTGTACTTATGTAAATTTACATTTACTCCTGTTACAGACATGATGGATTTTTCTGGAAACAACGGGGAGAGTAGACCCTTGACTTGATATGTATAACAACGTATATAATAACGAATGCAAATATACACATATATACGTAGATATACATGTTAACGGGGTATACGTTATTCGCAACACTCAGTATATCCTACATATAATATTGGCGCTATACTTCCAACCGGCCGTTCATGTCACTCAGTACATGCTATATATAATGTTGGCGCTATACTTCCACTCAACCGTTCATGTCACTCAGTATATGCTATATATCATACTGGCGCTATACTTCCTCTCGGCCGTTCATGTCACTCAGTATATGTTATATATAATATTGGCGCTATACTTCCACTCGGCCGTTCATGTCACTCAGTATATGCTATATATAATATTGGCGCTATACTTCCACTCCGCCGTTCATGTCACTCAGTATATGCTACATATAAAATTGGCGATATACTTCCACTCGGCCGTTCATGTCACTCAGTATATGTTATATATAATATTGGTGCTATACTTCCACTCGGCCGTTCATGTCACTCAGTATATGCTATATATAATATTGGCGCTATACTTTCACTTGGCCGTTCACGTCACTCAGTATATGCTATATATAATGTTGGTGCCATACCTCCACTTGGCCGTTCATGTCACTCGGTATATGCTATATATAATATTGGCGCTATACTTCCACTCGGCCGTTCACGTCACTCAGTATATGCTATATATAATATTGGCGCTATACTTCCACTCGGCCGTTCACGTCACTCAGTATATGCTTTATATAATGTTGGTGCCATACCTCCACTTGGCCGTTCACGTCACTGAGTATATGTTATATATAATGTTGGTGCCACATCTCCGCTTGGCCGTTCACGTCACTGAGTATATGCTATATATAATGTAGGTGCCATACCTCCACTTGGCCGCTCCATGTTCTCGTAATTCTGTCTTCGTCTTGCACCATCTGCCCTGGACGCCTGACCAGGTCTAGTTTACATGCCAAATCAAAACTGAATATTTTACAACATGTGCTCAAATGAACAATCTAATCATGTCTTGTTTATCACACATTAGGAGATAAAATCTCAGACATATGGTTCTGTTCTCTGACAAGATACCGCTCAGGACGTTTCATAACTGTGCAGCCAACAGAAAGCTACAACATTGTGAATAATGTATGTACACACGTGAATACCATCTGTCCTAGGAAATTATACATTGTGTTAAATGTTATGCAAATTACTCTATATTCAAATACATAAGTACACAGTTAAACCTAGCACATTTCAGTCGTTACTTACTTTTGCAGATTACAAAGAGCAGTTAGGGCAATTTTGCTCCACTTACTTTGGTCAATTAATAACAAAAACACTCGCTTACCGTTTTTGTCTTTTCACCAACTGTATATTTTAGGCAGATGATGGCAGATTGTCAAGAATTCTAGGACTGACTGACTGAGTTTGGTTTTACGCCGCTTTTAGCAATATTCCAGCAATATCACGGCGGTGGAAACCAGAAATGGGCTTCACTCATTGTACCCATGTGGGGATTCGAACCTGGGGATTTCGGCGTGACGAGCCAATGCTTTAACCAGTGATCAACGACATGAGCATCAATTGGAACCGATGATATGTGTCAACCCAGCCAGAGAGCCTGACTACTCGATCCTGTTAGTCGCCTCTTGCGACAAGCATGGGTTGCTGAAGGGCAATTCTAACCCGGATCTTCACGGGTGGATATATTCCAGTTAGCACAATCGGTCCCAGTTTGCGGTACTTTGCGTGAACCGAATATGGAACTTGAAGAATACATTACTTAACAAAGAAGGTTTATAAAAAGGAAGACAATTACAAATTGAAAGTTAAATCATGTGGTGAGAGAGAGTGTGAGTATATTTTACGCCGCCTTTAGCAATATTCCAGCAATATCACGACGGGGGACACCAGAATGGGCTTCACACATTGTACCCATGTGGGGAATCGAACCGGGATTTTCGGCGTGACGAGCGCAAGCTTTAACCACTAGGCCACCCACCGCCTCCGTGGTGAGAGAAAAGACCAGCGGAGATAATACTGTGGGATACTGTGGTATAACAACTGTGTATACATGTCCATGGCTTTGTTGCCAGTAACACTGAATGTTGACTAAACAACATTATCAATACATTCATACAATCACGCAGAACACCTACCTCTGTGGGTTCTCTTCTGGTTTATTATCATCTAGAAATAGATAAGCATTTGTCAGTGTCGTGTTCAGGACAATACCATTCCATTCAATAGAGCTTGATATTACTTGAGATATGTCCTTATGCACAGTATTGTTGAAGTAAATGTTAACTAGCGAACATATTTTGTATCTATGCGCATGTTTTATGTTACTCAAGTTATACTACAAATACACTTACGTGTTGCAGTCTGCATTCTTCTCCTCTGGTAGATAATGATGATGATGAGGATGATGATGATAACTATGCCCACAGATCCTGTTGCTATGACAATCACTTTATTTGTGCTTGTAATGTCGTTGTTCCCGATCAAAGAGGAAGCTTGCACTGCGACAGAACATATCACAATGAAACAATGCCAATGAGAGTGTACTCCATGTGAAGATGTATGGTGGGTTTTGTCTGAGACATTTGATAATATGCCAAAGAAAAAGCATTTACTCACAGACTTCGATGCTTGTCTGAACAGAAGATGTCCCTTGTTCATTAGTGGCAAAGCACGATATGTTGCCCGAATCAGAAGATGACGCATGTTTCAGAAACGTCTGTCCGTAACTGATATCGCCGTTGTGACGCCACATGTAGGAGCTGACAGCAGGGTTTGCATCGTCAACGACACATTCAACGTCAACGACATCCCCAACCATGACACTGATGACATCTTGTCTTGTTGACAGGTGGATCTCTGGTGGATCTTACGTCAGATACAAGGTAAATGTTCATGTTTTACAAGGTTTGAAAATTAACCACGACACCAGACATGGAAACTACACAAATTATCTTGAACCTTTATACCCAATGAAAACACACTAGATGATATACAAAGAAGAAAAGCTTAATACCAAAGAGAAATTTCTGGTTTCTGTAAAATAAATTTTAATTAAAATCACAAACCAACTTCCTTTGATTAAGAGAGGGTAGATTATCACTGACCCAAAGACACAGTAACGTATTTTAATGTATTCCTAGTCTTTTAGCGACCAAAAACATCCACTGACCTTATGAAACAGCATTTTAATATATTCCAAGCCTTTCAGTAAACATTGCGAGTTTACATACACTGGTACCAGGTAAGTCAATCTAATATTTGAGCATAATTATATGAACTATTGATATTAATAATGACCTGACTATCGATTATTACCATATTTATAATACGTTTACATCTGAATGCTAACACTGAATTAACGTCATTGAATCCTCAATGAAATTCCCCGATATCAATCAAGAAAACGATACTATGAAGCGAAAAGTTGCCCTTACATTTTACATTTATAGTTGCATCTGCCCGTCCAGGTGTCATCATGTGTCCATTGTCCACTGTGCAGGACAATCGTCCACTGTCAGCTTTGGTCACGTTCTGAATGAGGATAGTTTCCTCAGTACTTGTTTTTCCATTGTGGGACCATCTGAATGTGTAGGTTGTAGGGTTGGCGTCATCCGCTACACACTGTACATGGAGGTTGTCACCGACACCAACATCAATGGTGTCATTTCCCGGCTCCAGATGTACCTCTGGCGGGTCTGGAGACAAACATATATATTATTTCTTAGCATCATTTGATAAGGCACACTATCAGTTCAACAGTATCATATGAACCTAATTTGTGAAGGAACATGGAATAGTAATATTGAACCAACAAGAACTTCCGGCTCTTGTGACCGTGTGAACGTTTGCGAAGATAATCCTTGCTGTTAATATTAAACATCCTAATTTTGTTGCCTCAATGAATCAGACTGTAGGACCATTTCTTATGAATGGTTTATCATAATTCCCAAACATACTTATAGAGTGACCTGGGTGTACATTTGCGAATGTCTGCTATAGTGTTCTACTAAATGTTTAATCAATTACATAAGTGTAGATAAACAATCGGAAATAGTGGAGTGAAATGGAGCAAACTGCATTTCTTGACTGTATTGGTGGCACAGATAGTCAAGTGGTCCTCGGCGATGTAAACCTGCAAGACCTCCCAGACACCTATTGTCGTGAACTGGGTTCCATAGTTACTATGACTACGATCATGGACTTGTCAGCTGCATACGAAGATTCGTGGAACTAAATCTCTCGATCTTAATTTCCCATCAAACATCGAGTTTGCTTTCCACATCAAGATCACAAGATGTTCAGAGCGGCCTTTAAAGCCTGCATGTCACAGAGAAATCTCTGCCAGTTTTACCCCTTTACCGTCTTATTAATACACTGTAATTTCTCTTATGATTATAATATGTCATGATTTTAATGAATGTATGCCGTGGAACACTCACACCACACGTTGATTTGTGTGGAGGCCATCATGTTCTGGGCATTACATGTCAATGTGCCCGAGTCAGACTTGGATGTTATTGTTGTAGTGAACGTTTGTCCGCTGTAGGAACGTCCACTGTGTGTCCACCTGAACGACGTGACGGGAGTGCTGGAGTTATCGACCACACACTTGACACTGATTGGTTGACCAAGAAAGACGTTGAGGACACTACCAGGTGGCTCCAGGTGGACACTCCGACTAGCTGAAAGATGTGAAACATGAGCCAATATTTAAGTTAAACCGAAACAGGAATGCATGTACAGACTCATACCGTCATACTGACAAAGATCACTACTAAACCCACCACTACGTGATACCGACAAAGCTTACTACTGTGCTAAACCCACCACCACGTGATACCCTCAAAGATCACTACTGTGCTAAACCCACAACCACGAGATACCGTCAAAGCTCACTACTGTGCTAAACCCACCACCACGATATACCGACAAAGCTCACTACTGTGCTAAACCCACCACCACGTGATACCATCAAAGATCACTTGTGTGCTAAATCCACCACCACGTGATACTGTCAAAGATCACTACTGTGCTACACCAAGCCATGTCATACCGTCAAAGATCACTACTGTGATAAATGAAGCCATGCCATACTGACAAAGATCAGTACTGTGCTAAACCAAGCCATGTCATACTTACAAGTATCACTTGTGTACTAAACCAAGCCATGTCATACCGACAAGGATCACTACTGTGCTAAACCAAGCCATGTCATACCGACAAGGATCACTACTGTGCTAAACCAAGCCATGTCATACCGACAAGGATCACTACTGTGCTGAACCAAGCCATGTAATACAGACAAGGATCGCTACTGTGCTAAACCAAGCCATGTCATACTGACAAGGATCACTACTGTGCTAAACCAAGTCATGTCATACTGACAAGGATCACTACTGTGCTAAACCAAGCCATGTCATACTGACAAGGATCACTCCTGTGCTAAACCAAGCCATGTCATACTGACAAGGATCACTCCTGTGCTAAACCAAGCCATGTCATACCGACAAGGATCACTACTGTGCTAAACCAAGCCATGTCATACCGACAAGGATCACTACTGTGCTAAACCAAGCCATGTCATACTGACAAGGATCGCTACTGTGCTGAACCAAGCCATGTCATACTGACAAGGATCACTACTGTGCTGAACCAAGCCATGTCATACTGACAAGGATCACTACTGTGCTAAACCAAGCCATGTCATACTGACAAGGATCACTACTGTGCTAAACCAAGCCATGTCATACTGACAAGGATCACTCCTGTGCTAAACCAAGCCATGTCATACTGACAAGGATCACTACTGTGCTAAACCAAGCCATGTCATACTGACAAGGATCACTCCTGTGCTAAACCAAGCCATGTCATACCGACAAGGATCACTCCTGTGCTAAACCAAGCCATGCCATACCGACAAGGATGGCTACTGTGCTAAACCAATCCGTGTCATACCAACAAGAATTACTACTGTGCTAAACCCACAACCATGTGATACCGTCAAAGATCATTACTGTGCTAAACCAAGCCATGTCATACCGAAAAGGATCACTCCTGTGCTAAACCAAGCCATGCCATACCGAAAAGGAACACTCCTGTGCCAAACCAAGCCATGTCAAACTGACAAGGATCACTGCTGTGCTAAACCAATCCATGTCATACTGACAAGAATCACTCCTGTGCTAAACCCACAACCATGTGATACCGTCAAAGATCACTACTGTGCTAAACCAAGCCATGTCATACCGAAAAAGATCACTCCTGTGCCAAACCAAGCCATGTCAAACCGAAAAGGACCACTACTGTGCTAAACCAATCCATGTCATACTGACAAGGATGGCTACTGTGCTAAACCAAGCCATGTTATACCAACAAGAATGACTACTGTGCTAATCCCACTTCCACGAGGTAACGTGTAATTTCACCCCAGCACAGTTTCACCCCAATTCGTTTCATCCGGGTTGTTTCACCCCATACATTTAGAGCTTGTTCCAGCAAAATATATTATTATTTACAAACTTGTTTCAATATTTTAATCAGCTATGTATAGTATCAAAACAGCATTTTCAGATTGTTTGAATAACTATATCACTTCATATTGTCTGTGTTGGATCGGGTGACGTCCTTCAGTGACGAAACAATGCAGCTTTCTTGGACAGGAATGAGCTTGTGGAGACTCCCTTGTCTGTGTACTGTGTCTAGAGGTGAAGAAGCTTCTCGTGGATCTTCCTGAATTCCTGTCTATTGATACAAGACGAGGCGCACTTGGGTTTTCACTTGGTCAGCCTCACTTCTCAAGAGTGGCACAATAACATGAAATGGCAATCCAACACCACAACACATATTGTCTAGCCACCTGTGCCCTCCCTCTACGTTATTATTGGTCCTGACTGCATGCTGGAACACAGACAGGGACCCTGGTGTGTACAGGTCTCATGTCATCCACGTTGTCTCCAGGTACAAACTCTCATAATTGTTCTGTGTTGGCACGGGTCTTCAGAGATGTGAAGACTGGAACAATCACTGGAAAAAAAATCCATCTTTCCAAGCTTGGAAATGTCTTGGAAAGATGATGTTTCCAAGACATTTCCAATTTTGGAAAGATGATGTTTCCAAGACTTTCCAATTTTGGAAAGATGATGTTTCCAAAAATTTCCAATCTTGGAAATATCCGCAAGGGGAGATAACTGGTGGGTGATGGTAAATTATTGTTCTGCATGGGTTAATTGCAATAGTGGCATGGGGCGGCATGAGTGTTTCATGGGGTCGTTAAGGCGACTGGCGGTAGTCTTTGATGTTTGGTGTTGTTTTAGTAATGATTGTTTAAGGGGTTAACGAAAGGATTATCGACTTGACTAGTCGAAATTGCAGTGAACACATTTTAAGTGTGAAAAGTGAGTTTAAATATGTATCATCATAAGCTTATATCTAGTCAGTGAGAGTTAATTTCGTACAAGGGCCACCGACCCGTTTTACAATTATAAAGATGAAAATACAATCCAGCGCCATATATAATATTAAGCTGCATGCTAACGTGTACAATGTCTAATTTAATCTTATACTCTATATTCAAAAACTTCGCTCTTTTTGTCAATGTTTCACATGGATTATTTATGTAGTATTGTGGGAGAAGGCTGTTTCTCAGATCACAGTAAAATGAACATTCAATAAAGAATTGGTACTCTGATTCAATGGTAAGTACAATACACAGAGGGTAGAATCACTCATGTTGTTTTTATATTTACTTTTCGCCCTTATTCCAACATTAAAGGATGGTCTGAACAACGAAACTTACTCAAAGCAAAACGAATCGTTGCGTTGCTGTCAATCGTTGCGTTGCCGTCCTGGGGGGTCGAGTGATGGTGTCACCATGCACTAATTTCCACCGGACCCCGCAGTTCGTGCTAAATCATTTAGTAAATGAGTTATGTTTGTGAGTGCGAAACAAGCGTTGTGGAAGCTTGGAACGATATCTTAAATTTGTCCAGATCGCTTCGCGGAAGTTAAAGAATCAAACTACTTACTACTTGTAGTACAATATATATATGATTGATGACCAAACATATTTTCCATGACACAACTTGAAGTAGTGTTATATTGACACCCACCTCGCTTCCTCGAGAGAAATGATTATGATATAAGATATGTCACGCAAATCCTATTGGACATCAATCAAATACATATTGTACTACCAGTAGAAAGTAGTTTTGATTTTGTAACTCGGTGAAAACAAACCTAAATAGCATTTATTCTCAGACTCGCGGATGTTCGCGACAGTGCGCTGTCATTTTTAATAATCGTAACATGACGGGCTAAAGTCTGTTAAAGAATTAATGAGATTATGGTTTGTTTTCATCAAGATTAGAAAAGCAAAACTACTTTCTACTCGTAGTTAAATATGTATTGGAATCATGGCCAACAGGATTTTGGCATGACACAACTTATAACATAACGATTTCTTCCTCGGAAGCGAGGTGAAATCGAAGTTTATACATACTGCGCTATATAATATCTTGCTACATTCCCATGGTTAATGTCCACTCACCAGTATGTAGATACTAGTCAACGTGCGTCTTTCTATTTGGTCTTATAATCCTAATTAGTTTATTATCTGGGGATCTGCCTTTACTTATAACTTGAATATCTAGACATTGTAAATCATAATTCGCACGCACGCCCTAGTGTATGTTGTCTGTCTCATTACTTCACACGACGAAATCGTGGATTCTGTGGAATGCTGCGACAAATGAATAAAAACAAAAGCAATTATTAAAACTAAAACAGGTAGTTATAATGATGTCAGGCTATTGCTTTGTTCGAGGAATGTATCCATCAATATCCACAAAAACGAGCCGTATGCCATTCACCTGCAGCTGTTCCAAATGATGTGTCTTTTAACAGTCTAATACATGTTCACGAAAAGTGATATATCGTTTCAGGTATTTCACATTGGTATATAGTCGCATTGGTCACCCAAGATAGCATACCTGGGAACTAATTGCATAATCTCCGCCATTCTTTACAAAAAAGTAATTTAGATAGCCAATAATGAGAATCAATGTCTTGGCGGTTAATCCTTTGAAAGAAGGAAGTTGTTTTACGCAGACACAGACACGACAGAGTGTATTTAGTATTGATTAGTAAATGTACATACATAAACACTACCTTTTGACAAATCCGTAAGATAAAAGTATGGGTTAATCCTTTGATCGATGTTTATACTGTTTGAGTATTTACTCCAGACACAAGAAATGCAAAATGGGAACCTTTGTCGGGTTATCTAAGTGGTGTTACCACTAATTATACCTGTTATAAATTCATTAACTGACCATCAAGTGAATGATGACAAATGACATGTGTAGGTTTATACCACCTAACACGGGTTACAACAAGGGAGTATTAATTGCTGTACTGCATGCAATTTTAATTGCATGTGAAAACCTATGGGCCGACACTATTTTGAGAATACGGACAGAACTTCACTGTTGCAAAAGAAATACATATAAGCATTTGCTGTGTGCTAAAACTGTATTTACCTATTTACCTAAGTAAATTTTCAGAGTCTTCTAGCAATAGCAAAGTGCAAGGATGTGTTAAAAAGGAATAACGCAGTCAAACAGTTGCTGTTCGAATTGCATGAAATATGCAAAAAGCATGACATATTCAAGAACGATGTTTCCAA